ATATAGATTTGTTATTTTATATTCATAATCTTTTCTTTTTTGTTTCATAATTATAGCAATACTCTTATCACGTCTCATATTATAATGAATTATTAGTTAATGAATATGATCAAATAATGAAATCAATAGTCTTACTCACCATTGATCACGGTTTTTTATCCTTTTTTCTCTTCCAAGTCATAAATGTTTTCGATTCTCTAATGATTGCATCTTCTACCTTCATGACAACCAACTCCAGTCTTTTTGGCTTCGCTTCGATTCGTTTCGTTATGACATCAACGAGAAATTTTAAAGACGGATGAAGAGTATCTCCATTGAAATCCTGGCGCAAGTATTTGATATATTTCCTACTCGATGAAGAAGCACCTTCTTCTCTTTCCGCTTCTGCTGTTTCTTCGTTCTTAGTTGACCTACATAACTGTTCCAAGTCCTCCAAGCGAATTCTACGCGCAAGGCAATCTTTAAAGCAATTRTCATCTTGCTCGTCATTAGTTGAAGCGTTTCCATGGCGACACGTGTTTGGGAAAAGTGAGGGGATAGAAACAGGTTGCTCAGTTGAGCTTGAGCCTTCAGATATACTCGAGAATATCTGGGAAAGGAAATGAGACACCGTGATTACTGYATATCCCATTTTCAATATTCCACCTCCCTGACACAGCTTCCACTTCCCATACTTCATATTCCACTTCCTCTCTCCCCCTCCCATTTCCCTTCTCCCACCTTCCACTTTCTATCTTCAACTTCCCATACTTCATATTCCACTTCCTCTCTCCCCCTCCCATTTCCCTTCTCCCACCTTCCACTTTCTATCTCCCCCTCCCATTCTCCATATTCCATTCCCGCCTTCCACTTCCCACCTCCGACCTTCTTTATTTACATGAAGCCAAGCAATACAATACAAAGCAATACAAACCTCACAGCAGCTTTCCCTATATTCCTTACGGCTTCCCCTTTTAAATGGCCCCAGCACCGACCTCATCCCTGTGAGCATCTCAGGATCGCGGAACGCCCAAGAGCCATATATGTTGGTCTTACAGAAGTTTGTGTACGTTTGAGTGTCTCGTATTTGGCGTAATTCCTCATGGGACCAAGGAACRCCGCTGGCCTGTGTTTTTGCCTGGCATTGGCGAGTCGCTGATACCCAGTCTCTCCAGACCGGGAGACTGTCACGTGACTCAGAGACTTCTAAGTGTTTGGCAAGGCCTGCCTCAACCCTGAAATCCGATGGGAAGACATGAATGATATGCCATGTAACACTGTAACTATAATATCTTCGAGACTTTATGATGTGTTTTATCAAATCTACGCGTTTATCCGAAATCCTAGCATTCAATATCATGTAACTATGTTGCGACTGACACTTCAGCCTTCATGAGCAATAAAAAGAAAAGGATGAAATGATTTACATAAGGTTCTATTGAACTCTCCGATACTCCATTTAACAGTTCCGTTCAGTTCCGTTTAACGGAACTGTAAATGATTATTCGTATGCTGCTTAACCGTGCCGTGTGGTCTTAGAGCTGTTGTATACGACTGTGAAAAAACTCACGGTATGGACGTGCTTTACCATGTCCGTGACGATGCAACAGGCAAGGATTTTATCAGAATTAATTAAGCTTTGGCTTTCACGTGCTGTAAGTTAGCATCGTACGTTTCAAACTTACACGATAACCATTCTCATAAAAAGCCATTGTAATGTCACGGCATGTCGTATAGTGTACTTGATGTAAGTCAGTATCACTTCCATATACCGTCGTCGTGCTGTGCCCACTGTTACGAAGAGTGTCATTCAAACACAGTACTTAKCTCTAAAGAGATTACTTACTCATGGTGCGAGTCATCGAGTCCATAGCACATTTTTAAAGCAATTATGATGTAGGCCATGGCTGTTTCTTCAAACCGCAGCATATTTGCTAAGACTTTATCTAGTTTGAGTGACAACAGATCCTCGTATGGAGAATGCTCCTTCAGGAGGTTGTTTACAAATCCATGGGTTATTGCTAGGAACATAACAATAAATGTAAATAATAATGAACCAAAAGCATTGCAAACTATCGTTAAGGGCTCAGTGGTTCACACTTCAACGTAAGCATAAACATAAGCATAGGAAACATAGTACTATTGTAATTCTTATAATAATAATAATAATAATAATAATAAAAGCTTTATTTAACGAAGGTTTAAACTTTCAGTTATAGACTGGTTTACGATATAAAATACAATGTAAAAGCAAGYTAATAATATATATTTATAAAATATCTAGTAGATTTAATATTATCCCAAAAAAACAACCCTAACCCTGACCCAACCCCAGTAAATTACTATTTACCCATAAATATAAATATTAAGTATAAAAGTGAATAAATATAATCCCATACCAGCCCTTAATCCTACCCCCATCAA